TATTCGGGCAGGAGCAGAGGTCCCAGCATCAGCAGGATTGCCTGCTTTCTCGCAAATGTGAACACCTACACACAGAAGGGGAGAGAGTGTGAGTTTGAATGTTTAAATGTGTTTGGGTGACTGTGAGCAAGAAAATGAGGGAGGAAGTGAGCAAGTGAGGGGGAGTGCAAGAGCAAAGGAGGGTGAGCACGTGAAAAAGCGCGTGCGCACGCAAGAGGAGAAACCTGTGTATGCCCGTGCACGGACCTGGAGATACACCGGTGCCCACCACAGTACCTAGGAACTGCGTGCAGTGAGGGAGGGCAGGAATGTGCCTGCTTATCTGCATGTGCAGGAGAAGGGGGCGTCGTTGCAGGAAAGAATGAGACCTAAAGAGGAAACAGAGAACAAGCGTGTCCATCTATAAGAAGCATCTCTAGCGGAAAGGGGTAGATGACAGGGTGATGGAGTTAAGAGGTCCTGGGTGTGCAAGAGGAAGAAGACTCATAGGTGCGGGAGCTGCACGTGCCCAGGGGACTGCGTGTGGGTGTGTGCACATGCATACGTGAGCACGAGGCCGTGACAAGTGACAGCAGACATGAGTGTGTGTGCGCCTGTGTGGAACGCCTCCGGGCGTGCGAGTGAGCATGCCTGCCCCGGGGGCAGCTGTGGGCTGCCTGCAGGTGTCGGCGATGCCTGAGGATGTTTTCACCCAGAAATCTCAGTCTGGGAGGACTGGATGACGCTGGCTAGGGTCTGGGTGACCGCGGCCCCGGGAGTGTTGGCCATGTCGCCCCCCGCCTGGCAGCTCCTGTGGGAATGAGTGAGTCACCCAGGCATGGCTGGTCCTCACTCTGCCTTGCCTCTTAGTCTCGCCCAGTGGGGAAGACAGCTGGGAGGGGGAGAGATTACTCGAGGGCTGTATTTTTACATCATCATTATGCAACTGCTTGCAGTGTCCATGGGCTCATTCTAAAGGCCCAACGCCCCAGGTCTCTGGGCCTGTATGCCTCCATCTCCTTTTATGTCCAAGGTGCAGCTTAGGTTGGTGGTTTTGGCTGACGAACACTGTGGAAGTCTACTCCTTACCAGGTTCCAGGACCACCCTATTTACAATGCCAACCATCCCCCCGCCCCCCGCCCCCGGCCACCCAGTCCCGGTCCTTTCCCACCTCCCCCTTTTTGGCTTTAATTCTCTCCACAGCACTTACCACCATCTGCTATACTATATATTTTACCTATTTATTGCCTGTCTTTCCCTTAATAGGAAATGCCTATGTCATTTGCCACATTCCAGGCATTGTTCTGAGCTCCATTTAATCCTCCAACAACCGTACATGGTAGTGAATGTTATTCTTGCCATTTTGTAAATGGAAGGCAGAGAGGTTAAGTAGCTTGCCCAGGATCACCCCAACGGTAAATGGTGGAGCTACGCCTGGGTCCAGGATGCCTGCTCTTAACTAGGGCACAATACTGCCCTGTAAGGGTGGGAAATTTTCTCAGGTTGCTTCATTGTTGAAACTCCAGTGCTTACAGAGTGCCCAACACATGGAAGTGGTCAGTGAATACTGAGTAAATGGATGAAGAAATGAGTGAATGAACGTTGCCATGGAGGATGGAATAGAGAGGTAGTTGCCTTCAAAGAGCTCACGGTCCCATGGAGGAAACAGACAAAAAGTTATTTCAGTATCATATGAAGACGGCGTCATGGGTGCCTAGAAGGGCATATAACTTGCCTGGCCCCTGGCAGGCGGGCTTTCCAGAGGAAGGACACAGATAGGGACAGGCACAGTGACATCGCCCAACTCCTCCAAACTCCTCCCTGGGGACAGACATACCTTAGTTCTTCCTGCCTCAGTCCACAGGGTGCCAGGAGATCATAATGGCTCAATGGCGACAAGGAAGGCAGAATGGGGTAGCGGCCAGGAGCCTGGGCTCTGGAAGGAAACTGCCTGGAGGGACTCCTCACTCTACTGAACACTGGATGAACCCGGACAGACCCTCCAACTTCCCTGGACCTTGGTCCTTTCTTCTATGAGATGGCGATAGCAAATAATACCGACTTCCTAGGGTAGCAGAGAGGATTGCATGAGATATAGGTTGTGATATTATGATTTATCAGAAATATATAATTCGTCATTCAGATGACCAAAATATATATCTCTCATATATATTTGGTCTTCAGCCACAGTTCCTAATTCAAAGCTCCCAAAGTCTTTGGAATTTCCTGAGCTACTAGAGCAGTGGGATCATATTTGGTCTCTTGTCCTTAGTTCCTGAAAATGTTTCAGGGAAGGTGACTTTTGGATCCCACCCAAGGGTGGGGGCTGGTTGCCAGGAGAACCAACCACGTGATTAGAGCACTGGAACTCTCCAGTCCCAGACCCGACCTCCAGGGAGAGGGGCTGGGGGTTGAATCATTCGCCAATGGCCAATGATTTAATCCACGATGTTTATGTAATAAAGCCTCCAGAAACATCCCAAAGGACGGGACCTGGAGAGCTTCCGGGTGAGCGCATGGAGAGGTGGGGAGAGTGGTGCTGGGAGAGGGTATGGGGGCTCCGCGCCCCTTGCCTTGCCCTACGCATCTCTTCCAACTGGATGGTCATCTATATCCTTTAATAGCCTTTTAAAATAAACTGGTAATCTAGTGACTAAAATGTTTCTCTGAGTTTTGTGAGCCTTTCTAGCACATTAATTGAACCTGAGGAGAGGGTTGTGGGAACCTCTGATATATAGCCAGTCGGTCAGAACTGCAGGTAACAACCTGGGCTTGCAACTGGCGTCTGAAGTAGAGGGCAGACTTGTGGGATTGAGCCCTTTACCTGTGGAATCTGATGCTATCTCCTGGGAGACAGTATCAGAAATGAGCTGAATTCTCAGATAACCTGCCGGTGCTACTGCACCTTTGCATACATGTGAAAGCATTTAGCACAGTGCCTGGCACAAGGTAGGCAATGTGCCAGGTCCAGCGGAGATGACCAATACTCCTCTTTGATTCTATTCTGGTTGTTGGCTTTTGGGGAGGAATGGGAGAGAAGGTTGGAATTAAACAAATCACACTTATTACTGTAGCCTCTCTGCGGTGGCTTCATCCCATTTTCCAGAAGCAGCTCAAAGCAGGGCAGGGACCTTGTCTGTCATACTCACCACTATATCCCTAGCACCTAGTATAGCACCTGACACATAGTACATGCTCAATAAGCATTTGTTGAATGAATGCTTGTGTGATTACATTTATTTTCCTTGTGAGGATAAATGTTCATACTGTTGCTGTTTCCATTTGCAAATAAAGGACTGCAGGACCAGTGGGTTACATGACTTGTCCATAAACACACAGCCTGTGTGCAGAACAGCCAGACTCCAAGACCAGACCCCATGCTCTTTCCTCCACACCATGCTACTCTCTGGATTCCTATACACGGTGTCCTATTTTCTGTGGATCTTTTTCTAGCCACTGGGGCCATCCCTGGTTGTAGAATCATCTCTGAATTCTATGACTCATATCTGAATCACAGAACTGTTTAATAGCTGAAAGGGACTTGCGCTGTCACCTCGACCTCTCACCCACTGTGGAAATTTCCTCTCCAGTGTCTATCCAGACAATACTTGAATACCTCCAGTGATGGAACACTCATTTTCTCCTGCATTATCAAGTTCAATGACTGGACTATTTTTAGAGTCAGAAAGAAAGTTCTGCATCCCGTGGGCCAACAGGCCTCTTTTAAATTTCTATGTATTGGATTTATGCCCTCTTCATAAGACACACACAGAATGAATATGCCGTCCCCTTCACAAGACAGCCTTTCAGATGTTTGCAGACAGCTCTTACATCCCTTTGGAGAAGTCTAGTCCTCAAGCTAGCTGTTTTGGGTCCCACAACGACACTGGTGCAGTGGCACCCATCCTAGCCCATCTCAACAGGCCGTCCTAAGTGTTTTGAGCAATGGCACCCCCTACTGGATAAGGTGAGAATTATACTGAAGGGCTCAATGCTCAGTGGGAGACTGGAGGAACTTCATCCGTAGCTGGGGCAACTGCTCATGGGGTGAAAAAACAACCACTTATTTTAAAGAGTCATGGCTTTAGAGTCACACCGAGTTGTTTTCCCTGTCTGTCTTAAAGAGGGTCACTGAAGACTCGACACTCTAAGGTTCCTTGCCAATCATGAGGTTTCTGACAAGCTACAGGTTTGAGAGTTCAAAATTAGAATTCAGAATTGGTTATTTCTTAACAAAAAGGTTTGGAAAGGGAGATGTGAAAATGTGTGTAGTGTTACAGGATTATGGTGATTTTTCTTTTTCTCTTGTCTTTATTTTCTAATATTTCTACAATGGATATTTGTTATAAGGAGGGAAAAAAAAACAATAAAAACTTTTATAAAAGGAAAAAACACAAAAAAGTTTCCCCCACCTTCCTTCCTTCATTCCTTCCAAGGCTGTTAATCCTGACTTGGGTATTTGGTCTACAACTGGACATGCTGCTTCTCCACGGGCAGGAGTGCCTTGGTAATGTTTCTGTGGCGAGAGCAATGGCCCGTGGTTCAAGTGTGGTCAACCAGACTCAAGCAGCACAATCTGACATTCACAGCCAGGCTTCTCCTCAGGGCTGTCAGGGATTTTCTCCACTTCGTCCACCCCACCCTTGGCTCATGCCATGGTCAGGCTGTGTTTCCTAATCTTACCTTTCGAAATCTGCCCAGCACACCGCCGGCCAGTGGTCATGTCCTGATCAAGCCTGGACTCCCCAGCTCTTCACCCTTCTCTCCACCCTCCCCGCACACCCTCAGCTGCCTCTTCTTCCCTCCAGATGAGTCTACAGCAGCTCCAAATGATAACAGGTCAGAAAGACATCAGGGATTAGAAAAACAAATCCTCATTGAAACGAAGACCTACAGACCAGCTGAGTCACTCCTCTAAAGCAAATTCACAGCCACCCAGGCTTTCCTCCAGCCCCAGTGCCATCCGGAGCTCTCTTCCTCCATTTGCCGCTCTGGGGGACCTGGTGCTGGGAAGACTCACCCGGCAGCCTCTCGCTGCAGCACATGTCCAGGGCTCCTCCCTCGGAGTCATCAGCAGTGTGGTTCTCTCTCTCTCTCACTCCTGCAGCAGAATGAAAAATGTGAGATGAGGCTGTTGAGCTGGGATCAAGACAAAACCCTGAGCAAAGAGAAAAAGCCTTTCTTTCTTGCACTGTGTCCCTTGGAATAACCCTGCCCCATTAGGGGGACCGGAGGAAAAGATCAACCTACAGAGGGGTCAAGCTGCAGAGGCAGAAGCAGAATTTTACAGGTGGAATAACCACCAGCAACATCTCTAAAACCACCATCAGCACCATCATCTCTGCCACAGAAGGAGGGCTTACTACGTTCAAAGCACTTTACAAACTTTATCACACTGAATCTTCATCAGGGCCCCATGAATTAGGGATCATTCCACTGGCTCAGAGAAGTCAAGTAACCTGCCTCAGGTCACACAGCTCATTAGGGTAGAGCTGGGTACGAAATTACAGTCTAGGACTCCAGGCTCACACTTTCACTGCTGTGCCATTCTGCCTCCTAGTTCCTGTGGGTTTGAACCATGGGTGAGCAAGAGGGATCTGGGTAACATACGGTGTGTCCAGCTCCCCACATCTGCACATTCCCTGTGCCTCAGGCAGTAAAAAGTGGTATGCAAAACTCTTCTCTGGAAATAGCTAGAAAAAGTAGCTGTATATGTATATGCATTTTCTAAATGTTCTATTTCTTTTCGAACTCAGAAAACCCTCTTTCTAGCTCATCAGGGCACCTTCCAGGACTATGCTGGGGACTAGTTTTTCTCCTTTACCCAGTAAGCTGGGAAAAAGGTTGCTGGAGATTAGTCAGACCCCAGACAGTGTCTGCACTTTGACATATCCTGAGGGTAACTGCGTTGCTCTCAGGGCTTCCCCTGCTTTGGGAATAGCCTGCCGTGCAGGTGTGGGCTCCAGTGGCTCTGCCTGCCCTTCGTGTCTGACCCCTGGCAGTAGCTGACTGATCCAGGGCTGGACAAACCAACTAGGCTGGGCCAATCAGATCCTCTCCTCTGCACTTTTAAAATGCATTCTGGGGGCTGAATCACGGTAGCCACCGTGTCCTGGAGAGAAGGTCCAAAAACATCTGCTGCCAAGGGTCTTGGAGCTACTTCATTCCGGCCCATCTTGAGTCTTGATTGGGCAAAATTTCTGTTAAGGCCATAAGATGCCCCAGTATCCTTCCAATAAATTCCAACATTTCAGCTCAAACCAACAGCATCTGATTTCTGAAATTGGCAACCAGAAGAAACTTTAATACAGCCTTGCTAGCATAATACTTCCAAGAAGTTCAAGAGGTCAGCTGCCTCTCCACCCACTAGTCCTGCAATCCTGCCTCTCGGACTGGTCCTGAGGCTGATTTCAGGCCCAGCTGCAGATCGGAATCAATGAAGGGCAGACAGGCCAGGTTAAGGATGGTGACCATTTTCATTCTGACATCTTCTGCTCTCAATTGGCAATTGTTTTATTTTTTCCTCACTCCAATTGGCAGGGTCTCTGAGAATCCCAAATCCCAGGGCCCAGCTCTCCTATGGAGAGAGGGCTGCTATCTTCAAGGCCCTTTAAATGTCTCCTGAGTCTCTCCACTTTTCTCCCTCTTCACCACCTACATCTTGGCCCAGGGCAGCATCTCTTGCCTAGATTACTGTGGCAGTCTTTTAACTGGTCTCTGGCATCCACTCAGCCTGGCCTCCAAAACATTCTCCATATGGCTCCAATACATACGGCTTCATAGGCTGTGCACTTTACAACCTGTGCATCTGGATGGGGCAGGCCTGAGCTAGAACTTTTCCACAACTCAACGTTTATCATATAACTTTCCTTAAAAAAATACTTGAATGGCATCCTACTACACTTGGAACAAAGGCAATGGCAACCTTTGACATGGTTTATCAGATCTTGAATGGTCTAACCCTTGTTCATCCCTCCAACTTTATTTCATGCCCCTTTCCCCTTTAACCTCTGCACTCTAGCTACACTGGGACAGGCTCTTTCCTTCATGATGCCTTTGCACGTGTTTTTCTCCCTGCCTGGAGAGCCCCCCACCACTCCCCGAGCTTTACTTCCCAGTACTTTTTTTTTTTAAAAAAAACATCTTTATTGGAGTATAATTGCTTTACAATGCTGTGTTAGTTTCTGCTTTATAACAAAGTGAATCAGCTATACATATACATCTATCCCCATATCTCCTTCCTCTTGCGTCTCCCTCCCACCCTCCCTATCCCACCCCTCTAGGTGGTCACAAAACACCCAGCTGATCTCCCTGTGCTATGCGGCTGCTTCCCACTAGCTATCTATTTTCTTCCCAGTACTTTTTACTCACAGCACTTGACAGAGTTTGAAATTTCATTTTAACTCAGGCCATTATTTGACTAACATTAGATTATAAGTGACACGAGGGCAGGGACCACCATTTCTGTTTCATTTACCATTGTATCTTGAAAGCCTCGCATAGTGCCTGGTTCACAGCAGGTGTTCAATAAATAAACAAACACTTGTTGAACTGAATGTTGCCCTGACCTTCTTGGAAAAACATCAGGAACCTCAAACATGGCCATCATCTGAGCTGCCTTTATGAAGGCATTCTTTTTTTTTTTTTTTTTTTTTTTGGCAGTACGCGGGCCTCTCACTGTTGTGGCCTCTCCCGTCGCAGAGCACAGGCTCCGGACGCGCAGGCTCAGCGGCCATGGCTCACGGGCCCAGCCGCTCCGCGGCACGTGGGATCCTCCCAGACCGGGGCACGAACCCATGTGCCCTGCATCGGCAGGCGGACTGTCAACCACTACGCCACCAGGGAAGCCCTGAAGGCAGTCTTTGTGAAGTCACTTGGAACCTTCCTCCACAGCTACTGTCCACAGCAGGCCCAGAATCACACATCGGGAAGGCCTCTCATTTAGCAGAGGAGGAAACGGAGGCACAGAACAGAGGTCTGACTTGCCCCAGGTGATATATCGAGTGGGTGGCCAAATGGATTGGGATGGAGAACACCTACCCCCTACCTCCCGATCTGAAGCTTTTTCTTTATTTATCTTGAAGAGCGCCCCAGCTGGAGGGCAGCCCCAAAGGCCTGGCCCCTAGCTCAGTGCAAAAAGGTAACTGAGGTATCCAGATACCTCTGGAGGGGGACCCATGTGTGACTCACAGCTGTAAGCCTCCCAGGCCCCAAGCCGTGTTCAGAATAGCTCAGCGCTGCATGTGTGCAGCGGACTCTATAAATAAGCTTCCTAGAAAATGACTAATTTCATAATCAGGAAAGCAGAAAGAGTAGCACCTCTCGTCTGTAGAGGAAAATGGAGCTAGAGCCTGCTCACGGCCCTGCAGTTGAAGGACTCCAGGCAACCTCGCCAAAACCTGCATGTCTAGGCTGTTCAGGGGAGGGTTTTAATTAGATTTCCAAAGAGAAGAGCTCGTCCATTCAGGCTGAATGGAGAAGCCCAGTCTCTGGGAACTGCCCTCCTTCCTCCCTGCCAAGAGCAGAAATAGCTGCTTGCAGTGGATTACTGCAGGCTCCTTCTCTCCTCTTCTCCACTTCTACCAGCCGGGCAACAGGAGCAGAAAACTGGCCTGTGACAACAGGCAGCAACTTGCTGCGCTGGCCCCGCACTGCTGCTCTTAGAACCAGAGAACCCCAGACATAAAGGGACTTGGAGATCACCCTGCCTGTCCTTCCCTCACCGATGGAGAATATCTGGGAGGGAGGAGAACTTTTCCAAAGCTGTTGCCCCATTCAACAAGCGTTTACTGAGCACCTCCTGTGAGTAAGGCACCAGGGCTATCCTAGGAACACAGTGGTGAACAAGCCAGGCCCTTCCCCCTCGAAGCTCCCAGTCTTCCAAGGGAGACACACAGGCAAACATGATCGTTCCCACACCTGCTTTAATAGGCTGCATGCACGTGATACCTTGGGGAGCTCAGCTTGGCTCGTGGTGAGGGGGCGGAGGGTGGATGTCTTCTGCAAGGGAAGATAGGACCTGGTTCTTAAAGGATGTTTCTAGATGGATGAGAGGGTCACAAAGGAAAGAATTCCTTCATAGTGCAAACAGCAAGAGCAAGAGCTGAGCATCTCGGAGGCCTGAGATGTACGGAATATTTGGCATTAACTGGAAGCAGGTTGGTCAGTGGGATGGGGAAGTGATGGAGGCCGGGCACCAACAGAGGCACCTGAGCAGGAATCCTGTCCTCTTCCAGTTGACCATGGGGCTTCCTCTGAACCAAGATGTGCCACAGGCTCCCCCATCCCTGGGCTGAGGAGGTCTGTCATAGGAAGGGCGATCAGTGGCATGTGTTTGAGGAATAAACATTAGGCCCAGCTGGTGGCATCTGATCTGGTCCCAATCTACTCCTTTTTTGAAACTGGGGTGAAATTCACATAACCTAAAATTCACCATTTTAACCATTTTAAAACATACAATACATTCACAACGCCGTGTAACCACCACCATTACCTGGTTCCAGAAGAGTTTCATCACCCCGAAAGGAAACCCTGTACCCATTAAGAAGTCACTCCCATTCTCCCCTCCCTCAGCCTCTGGCAACCACCAATCTGTTTCCTGTCTCTCATAGATTTGCCTATTCTGCATATTTCATATAAATGGAATCATGCAAAAGGAGCCTTTTGGGTCTGGCTCCGTTCACTTAGCATAACATTTTCCAGGTTCATCCCAGTTGTAGCACGTATCAGTACTTAATTCTTTTTAACGGCTGGAAAATATTCTACTCCATGGATGAACTGTATTTCATCCATTCATCAACTGATGGACACCTGGGTTGTTCCCACCTTTTGGCTACTGTGAGTAGTACTGCTATGAACCAAACTTCTCTTTTAAACTCTGCTCCCAACATGCTTACCACTTTGGGCAGTCCTCTCTCACCCTGGGCCCCTGAGGCCTCATCTATAAAGTCAGGTGGTAAGATCCTCCTTGAAGCTTGAACGTCGTCACCGTCATTTGTCCATTCGTGTGCAAAGGGAATGTGTACCTGGCTGGGTACTGGAGACCTGGCCTGGACCAGCCCACCTACCTTCCTGGAGCTCATGGCTGGTGGGGGAGACAGGACAGCTAACGCTGTGGCCTGGGAGAAGCGTGCTAACAGAGGCCTGTCGGGGATGGGCTGGGAGCACCTCACCTCTGCCTGGGTGGTGGAATGGTGGATGGGTGGGTGCTGTCAGGAGGCATCCCGGAGTGGATGCCAGCTTTGCCCAGGTCGTATGCAGAGAAATAGCTGACAGGTTTGGGGAGGGGGGCAGAGGAGCTTGCACCCTCTTCCCAGGTGGGTGAGGGGTGAGGAGGAACTGGGATGCTGAAGCCAGATTCCTGGGTGGGAGGCTGAGCCCCCAGGAACCTCCTGACCCAACCCCAGGCAGACATGCCCTCTACCTTGGGCTTCATGCTCCTGGGGCTCCCGGGGCCCTCTAGACACCCCGAACTGTCAACTCAGAGCCTCTGCCACCCTCCTGAAGCTCCGATCCCACCAGACATCCCTATTCTCTGAATTCAAACCTGTACACACCCACTTCTAGGCCTTTGTTTGTGCTGTTACCTCAGCCTGATGTTTCCTTTCCTCCTCCTGCCAAATCTTACTCATTTGCAGCGTAACCTCTTCCATGAAGCACCCCCTGATCTCCCGGGAAGAATCACGCTCTCCCATCCCTGGGCCACGCCCCCGCACCCCTGGCTCACACTCCTCTCTGCCTCTGACTTTGTTCTGCTGCTTAGTTAGCTGTCTGTGCACCTGTCTCCCCCACCAGGCAGCCAGTGACTTAGGAGCATCCCCACCCCCTCAGCCACCCCCTGCATCCCAGGTGTTCAGGGCCCGAGCCTGTTGATGTACATGTTAAAGGTCAAATGGAGGGCAGTGGCAGGGTCTCAGGGTTAATGGTTTTGGGGTTCTGGGAGGGCAGAATCTAGCCAGGAGCTTCCCAACCTCGAGAAGATGGCCAGACCATGGCCGGAAAGAGACCCATAATGCCATCCAGATTTTCATCAGCACGTTCAGTGTAGAGGGGCAGAGGACATTCTGGCTTCATGGAAAACCACCTGACCACCTCATGCAAATGCGTCACGTGTCCCAAAGCAGGCAGGTGGAGAGGCCTCGCCCCTCCTCCCTGGGGCGGCGGCAGGGAAGCACACACACACACACACACACACACACACACACACACACACACGCTTGCTCACCGCGCTCACTCATCGTCATCCCTACGGTGTCTGGATGGGGCAAGGCACCATCTGGGGCCAGGGCAGGAAGCCTTCTCAGCACAAAGCACATGGGAGATGTGAATGGAGGAGAGAGGCCGGCTTTAGAACATCCAAATAGGGAAAGTGAGGCAAGAGAGGTTAAGTGACTTGCCTCAGGTCACACAAGGTGTGAACAATTGTTTTCAGGTAGTTAAAAATCCAGATTCCCTTTTGGGAGTTACCTCTCTCTTCCCCAGGTGCTCTGCTTGTCCCTTGCTACAGGGAGGGTCCAAGACCAGAGGTCATTCTGTGTCACACCCCAAAGCCTCTAACACGCAGCCTTCCTGCCTAAGTTACTCAGTCAGTTTCTGTTGCTGGCAACCACAGAGCTCAGACTGATGCATGCCGCAAACTAGTGGAACAAACAGGCTCCGAGCCCAGGACTCCCAATGCTTAGCTCACTGCTATTTCCATCCTGCCAAGCTGCCTACCCTCCCTGCCCAGCTGTCCACTGTCCAGCCATCTGTCCCCACGTCTGAGCAGACTGCAAACTCAGAGTGTTCTGGATCCCAAACACAGGGTCTGAGTGTTCTCCACTTGGGATGTGCCCAGATGAATGATGACTTCTCCAACTTGCTCTGTTGGTGGGAGACTGGGGCGTGGGCCTGGCAGGCACCCTAGGGAAGGGAAGATGGAAGGGTGCTGGAGAGGCCCAGCTTGCAAAGGGGTGGGGGTGCTTCGGCAACAGAGTTTTCCATCTTTCTTGTGAGTCCGATTCAGGGACTGGAACATTCATGTGTTCAGCTAGTGTTTACCAAACACCTACTATGTGCAGCCCACGGGGTGAGGCCCTGGGGATACAATGAAGTACACGCTCTCACGGCACAGTGGGGCAGTGCAGGTAAGCAAAAGGCAATGGAACACAGGTGGCCCATTTGATGGGAGAAATGCAGGGTGCTGTGGGGATGCTGCTGAGGCCCCCAGTGAGGCAGAGGAGTCAGGGAAGATTCCCAGGAAGGGATCTCTGATGAGACATGAAGGAGGAGTGGCGGTCAGAAGCTGTGGAGTGAGAGAGGAGCAGCTGGGGTGCGCCAGGCAGAAGAAGGGCCCATGAATGGGCCTGGAGTTGAGAGGAAGCAGGGCACACTCAAGGAATGGAAAGAAATTCAGTCTGACAAGGGCATGTGGGAAGGGAGTACGGACAGGGAGATTTACCGAGCTGCTCACTTGTGATGTTATTTCTTCGTGTTTCCTCCTCCCTCCCCTTTTTCCCAGAGACATAAGGCAGACCTTAATTCTCACAACAGCCCTAGAAGGAACATACTATCATTACCTGTAGTTTCTAGATGAGAAAATAGAGATCCAGAGAAGTGCAGTGACCTGCCCAAGGCCACAACGCTAGTAATGACAGATCTGCTTCTCGCCGCCCATATTCCTCAGCTCTCTTCTCTTCTGGCTTTCAGCCTTCGTTGTTAACAACACTCTGAAAATAGGAAGAGAGTGAACACGAACGTAACAGCAGACTACAGCAGTTGCGTTATAGATGTTCTTTGAAAAATCCTCACCATAGGTCTTTGGGGCATCATCCCATTTTACAGATGAAGAAACTGAGGCTCAGGGGGTGAAGTGACTGTGCTAGACTCTCACAGTGGGTGAGTCAGTGAAGGAGCCTGAGGGAGACTCCAGTCCCCAGGGCTCTGAAGGAGCTCACTGCTGCGGGGCCATTACCTTGTGTGTCCTCCCCAGGAACAGAACGACAGGAAGTGCTGCCCTGGACCCCGACCTCAGGTTTCTCCACCTGAAGCAGCGGCCCCGGAAGCCCTCCTTGGGAGACCGGCTGGAGTGGAGAGTGTGCATGATGGTGGCAGCTGTGCTCCATTACTGGAGGAACAAATATGCTCCATGGCCAAGGACCCAGCAGCCCTGGGCTCTAGTCCTAGGCCACTGTAGGACCTTGATCCAGTCATTTCCTCTAATCTGAGTGTCAGTAGCCACAAATGAAAATCAAAGGAATTGAATTTAATGACTTTTAAGGGCCTTTCCTTAAGGTCAAGTTTCAATTCTTGGGCTATCAAGGTTTGATGAGGCGGAGGTGGTGGAGTCGCAGCGAAGCAGCAGAGGGCGCTCCCAGCACCAGGGAAACAAGCCCTTGGTCCATGCAGCCTGGGGCAGAGGCTGCCCAACCCTCAAGTGGGGAAGGTGTTCCCACCCCAGCCAGTTACTCATGGAGGCCCAGCTCAGCTGTGTGGATCAGTATGTACTGAGGACAGTCCTATCCGTGTGGTGGGCAGGAGCCCAGAGATGATCAATCAAACAGCGGGATTTCAGAGTTCAAAGGTCATCTGGTTTAACCATCTGCTCTGCAAGATTCTGAAAACATCCCCCTTCTGCTCCCTCTTTCTACACTCCCCATACTCCAGGTATACAGTTTAATTTACAAGGAGGAAACAATTACAAATGTGAAGGCGTGATCACAGCTCTCAGGAGGGGGCTGTTCTGGTATTTCCATTCTGTTAGATGCTTGCTCCTACTTATGATACCTTGAAATGCACTTTTCCCTTCAGGCAAAAGCCCCCTTTTCCCTTCTCTGCTTGGAAAACTCTTTAAGACGCTTTCAAGACCCTGTTCAAATGTGACCCCTTCAGCAGAACCCTCCCTTAGGAAGAACTGGGTACCTGCCTTCTGTTCTCACACTCTATTCGGTGATCATCTATTGTTTTAAAAACTTATTTTATTTTTTCATTTTATTTTTGGCCATGCCACGTGGCATGCGGGATCTTAGTTCCCCGACCCGGGATCGAACCCGTGCCCCCTGCCATGGAAGTGCAGAGTCTTAACCACTGGACTGCCAGGGAAGTCCCTCGGTGATTATCTTTGATGCCTGTATCCCCACCTCACATGGAGCTACCGGAACACAAACCTGTGGATTATAATCACGGCAGCCTCCTTATACTGAGTGCTGGATACCTTGCCAAGTGCTGTACATGTATTACATCACTCATCCTTCACCAAAACCCTATGAACTAAAACACCGTTAGCCCCCTCCTACACATGTGGAGATAAGGACTTGGAGAGACTGAGTCACTTGCTCAAGGTCACCCAGTTGGTAGGCTGCAGAAGCAGGCTTCAAACTCCGTTTGCCTCAACCCCAGGCCCAGGCTTTATTGAAACCACTAGGTGTGTGGCCTCTGATGTGGACGTTCCTGTTTCCTGTATTTAATACCCTATCTGGCAGCAGACAGATATTCAAGACCTATTCTTGAAAAAATAAATGAAAAGTAAGCTAGGGTTTGAACATTTATAAATGGCTCATTAAAAACACCACAAAGCGTAGGCTTTGGGATTGGGCTGCCCGAGTCTGAATCAAGGCTCCCTCACTGGCTGCCTGATCTTGGACAAGATACTTGACTTCTCCGTGCCTCAGGTTCCTCATCTGTGAAATGAGGAAAGCAGTGTCTACACTTCAGAGGGTTCTTATGGAGATTAAATGAATTTTGATCCTCACATGAAGTTTTTACATGAGATGCATGCAAAATGCTTAGACAGGGCCCAGTAAGCTCCTAAAAATGCTGTCGTCTAGTGTGTCAGGCGTTGCCTGCTTCTCAGTTAATACAGGACTTCTCTCCCATAGGTGAGGTCCACGGAGGCTCTGGGATGAGTCTGGTGGTGTGCTAGTAAACTGGTTCTCAGACAAAAGAATCTTTTAAAATAAATAAAAAATTAAAAAGCCATGATTTGTGGCATGTAAATGCTCCCGGGTGTAAATGCTCCCACCATGGCTGATTTCAAGCTATGAACGTGAAGGGTCATGCTGCCAGTCTTGGAGAAGATGAGGAGTTTTGCTCAAACTCTCTGTGCCTCAGTTTTCTCATCTGTAAAATGGACCTAACTCAAAATATTATAGGTACACAGTAGTAGTACCTAACTCAAAATATTATTGAGATGAGAAAACATAAAACTCTTATAATAAGAGTTCCTAGCACAGAGCGTACCATGTAAGTGGTAACTAATATTACTGTTAAGAGTTTTCACAACACTCAGTCTCACTGCTGCTTGTCTGGCTCAGACACTGGCCCCATCCCAGCCCCTGGCTTTCCGCCTGATGCTCTGGTAGGCAGAGTCTCTGTCTTGGTCATCTGCCTTCTAGGACTGAGGCCTTGTCCACTCTTACAGCTCTGCCCCCTCCACTTGGGAGGGGGCACTGCTGGTTATACACCCACCCTGATCACAAATGATCTTGTGCTTCTGGTCTCTACCTGTCTCTGGTTTTAGCCCTAGACGTCCCTGATGCCAACCCTGGGCCTCGATGCCAGGGCTGCCTGTGCCTTGGTCTGGATCGTCCATGAAGATCCTGTCTGGCATCTGCTCTGCTCTTCGTCGCTTACAAGTCCACTTCTCATAGGGCTTGTATGCACTTACAGAGGGGAGAGCTGGGGTACAGAGCTAGGTCTGCTCCCACCTGCAGCTAGGGAAACCTCTAGCTCCTGGCATACCTCCCTGGGGGGTCTAGTCCTCTATCAGGGCCTCACACTCAGCCTCTGATTTAACCCTTCTGTGCTCAGGTTGGGAAGATCCTGGCACTTCAGGGTTTGGTAAAAGAATCAGGCAAACAGTCAGAGGCAGGGCCTGGGAGGCAGAGGCTGTTTGGAAACTTTAGCTAGGTCTGAGGCACCTTTGCCAGAAGACAGAATAGAGTGTGAGCCAGGAAGCTTAATGGAATGGGAAAGAGGAAAAAAAAAAAAAAGCAGAGGGGACCAGGAATCAAGGTTGAAAAGGGTCTGGAAACCTGGGGCCTGGGGTGGGCTGTCAACAGACTCTTCCGTCATTGGTGGAATGCCTCGAAACACAACAGACTGGCCATTCTGAGGCTGCATACCTTAAGGCAGCCACGGTCCTCTGCAAAAAAGCATGGATTTGGAGGCCAAGAGACACGGCTGAAACGCTGTGCTCTGCCACCCTCTCCCCACGGGGCCCTGGACCAGTGTCCTAACTTCTCTGAGCCTTGGTTTCTTCCTCTGGGCCATGGAAGCAATAGGAGCTGCTGGCCGCAGGGTTGTGGTAATGACCAAGAAAGTGACTGAAGCGCACAAAGTATGAGGCGACCCAGGGCTGACATACTCCTTGTCACCACAGCTGACCTGGCTTAAAGCTGCATCTCCTGGTGCCCTCTAAGTCAACCCGGCACGGGAGCCAGGCAGTGCCATCAGCTACAAAGCTCTGTCTCCTTTTTCCTCAGGCTCTGCCAGGTGTTCTGGAGCTAATGAGAACGACGCAGGAGAGACTAGCTTGAGGATGAGCAGGGACTCTCCGGGAGAACCATCCCCTCCCCTCTGGAGAGCCCCGGGCTGTTTCCAGGTCCCCAGGGTCAGACCCAGAGCCCTCAGGAAGGTGGGGCGCCAAGAACTGAAACCCGATGGTAGGATTCCCCAAATCCTCCTCGCCATGTGTATTGCCCCGCCTCCCAGCCATGCCCACTCTTGCTTCTCAGCTCTTGTTTCCCCCATTCCTCCTTCCTGGACAGGGCTCCCTGCTCTTCTCCTCCGAGATGTGGCCCCTGCTCCTCCAGGGCCTGCCTCAGCTCGTGCCGCCTCCAGGAAGCCTCCCCGGGGAGTCTAGTGCACGTTGACCTCTCTTCTGGCTGAATTCTTCCCCCACCATTTTGATTTGTAACTTGGCACCTCAAAATGGACCACACTCCACCCTGGGCTGCACCCTCCCTCTCCTGTCCATAAACTTGGCTTCTGTGAGCTGCCCAGGCTGGGAGGGGGCAAGGGATGAGCCTCCTTCTATAACCCCCAAGACAGGGAGTCCAGTGCAGAGAAGGAGGGATGGAAGGCCAGGCAATGTACATCCAGCTCTTTCTGCACATTCAAGTTTGGAAGGAAGATGGGAAGGAACGACTAAACAGAAGAAAAGAAGGTAGGAAGAAGTGAGTTAAAAGGAGTGAAAGGGGAGGGAAGGGCAGCTACGTGAGACTCAGGACCACAGTCACAAGAGGACAGATCAGGCCATGATCCAGGCTGCCTTGGATCATGCTTTAAGGCTCTCTATATATTTCCCGATTATGTAACTCTCTGGCTCAACAGACTCCTCTTTGAAAAACCCTTGGCACTCACCTCCTCCAGGCGGCCTCCCATGACTAACGCTACTCTTTTGCCCATCCCCTTGGCTCCCTGAGCTGTACCGCTTTGCACTCATCAATGCCCATCCATTTCCCATGATGCCAGGTCCTCTGGGGGAAGGGCTGGAGGTCTCTGCCTCACTGGCAGTGAGTTTAACGCTACATTTATCATCTGTAGTCAAAGATTACACTGTCTTTTTTCATCACCTTTCTTTGAACAATTTCAGACAGTATTTTGGGGATATATTTTGCACAGTTATTTTAGACCCAATCTGCCGCTAAGTAACCTTGAGACAAGAC